AATGTTCTACATTCTACTTTGGTGAGTAGTGTCTGGGGTCTTAAAAGCCTGTGAGTGGCCATCTAAGATACTCCACTGGTCTCCCCACTTCGGGAGAAGGAAGAATGAAGAAAACTAAATATACAAGGGAAACATTAGTCCAGAGGACTAATGGACCACATCTACCAAGGCCTCCACCAGAGTGAGTCCAGTACAACTAGATGGTGCCTGGTTACCACCACTGACTGCTCTGACAGGGATCACAATAGAGGGTCCAGGATAGAGCTGGAAAAAAAACATAGAACAAAATTCTAACTCACAAAAAACACCAATCTTACTGGTCTGAAAGAGACTGGAGAAACCCCGAGAGTATGGCCCCTGGACACCCTTTCAGCTCAATAATGAAGTCACTCCCGAGGTTCACCCTTCAGCCAAAGGTTAGACAGGCCCATAAAACAATACAAGACTAAAGGGACACAACAGCCCAGGGGCAATGAGTAGAAGGCAGGAAGGCACAGGAAAGCTGATAATAGGGAACCCAAGGTTAAGAAGGGAGAGTGTTGACATGTCATGGGGTTGTTAACCAATATCATAAAACAACAAGTGCACTAACTGTTTAATGAGAAACTAGTTTGTTCTATAAACCTTCATCTAAAGTACAAAAAAAATTCCTGTATTTGTTAGATTGTACAAAACTATCTGGATGCCAAAGAGGGCTTGTATTGATTAAAAAAAAAAAAAGAAAACAAACACCTCATAGTATTTGGTTTCTCGATTTGTAGGTTTAGGGTCTGGTTTCATTGGACATCGTAGTTAATTGGCCTAATAACATGTTTAGTGTGTTCTGCCTCCTAGTTCGATGTGTAGTGCCTGAGGTCTTAAAAGCTTGTAAGTGGCCATCCAGGGCACAACAATTGGTCTCTATTCACCTGGAACAACAGAAGACGAAGGCGAGTCAGGAATAGGAGGAGGATATGGAATGTGTGGCTAATTGTCTCCATGAACACCTGTCTCCTTTGTCATGGCACCAGAAGAACTGGATAGTGGCCAGCTACCATTACTGAACATTTTGATCAAAGATTCCTAGAAGAATACTGATCAAAAGGGGGGAAATGCAAAAGAGAATGTAAAACTCTCATGAACTCCAGACTTTCTGGAGCCATGAAGGTTGGATGAACCCCTGAAACTATTGCCCTGAGATAATCTTTAAACCTTAAACCAAAAATATCCCCTAAAGTCTTCTTAAAACCAAACAATAGTTTAGCTTAAGTATTAAAAATTGCCTTGAGTATTATGCTCTTTTAAGAACTATCTATATGGGATCAAATTGACAACAGCAACTCGAAAGATTAGATAGGAACTTCAGGGGACAGTGAATTCATGTTAATGGGGGGGAACAACTCAGAAAAGGAGGGTGAGAATGGTTACACAATGTCACTAAATGGTAAGGGTAGAAACTGTTGAATTGGTGTATATTTTGCTGTGTATATTCTCAACAACAACAAAATAAATAAAATTATATATGTATATATAAAAACGATGGTATCAACAATGCTACCAGTTGATGAATCTTTACCACAGGCCCGGCACTGAGCTGAGCCGTTCACGTACATTCTCATATTTAAGCTTGTAAACAACATGATGATGACGGTAACCATTAGTATCTTAATTGTACATAAAACAAACAGAGGCCCAGAAAGATTAAGTACATTACCCAAGGATACAAACTACTAACTAGCATAAACAAAATTTGAATCCAGGTTTGAGTACAGAGTAATCAATCCTTTAATGACTCTGGTATACTGCTCTCGTTGTTGTTGGTAGCTGCCATTGATGTCCCCGGATCATGGCGATCTCATGCACAAAGGAAAGAAATGCTGCCTGATCGGATCATTGTGATCCATAGGGTTTTCATTGGCTGATTCTTGGAAATAGACCTCTGTTCTTAATTCATCTTAGTCTGGAAGCTCTGCTGAAACCTCTTCATCATCATAAAAACCCATCGCCATGGAGTCTATTCCTACTCATAGCGACCCTATAGGACAGAGTAGAACTTCCCCATAGAGTTTCCAAGGAGCACCTGGTGGATTTGAACTGCCGACCTTTTGGTTAGCAGCCATAGCACTTAACCACTATGCCACCAGGGTTTCATCATCATAGCAACACATAAACTACCACTGACAAATAGGTGGTGGGTGTGCATGAGGTGCATTGGCTGGAATCGAACCTGGGTCTCACAGGTGGAAAAAGGCAATTCTACTAGGGAACCACAACTGCCTTCCCATATTTCCCTGGAGAAGTGCCTTAAAATTCCTTCATGCCTTGCATTCCCTGTCCAGTTTACTTCATATCAAGGCCTCCACTCTTGTAGCAATAAAACAGAGGAAAGATTCAGTTTTTTGCAGTTAAATCTTGGTGCCTCTATTGATTTGTCTTTTTTGTTTTTTTTAACCTTAGATACATTAAGACTTCATTGAACTTTAGTTTTCTTACCTGCAAAGTGAGAGTAATAATGCTTTCCCTAAAGAGTTGTTTTACAGATTAGAACACATGTTATTTAGCATGTGTCTTAGAATGACCTAGGAAAGTTCTCTGTCTGTGGGATTCTTGTTGACATAGAAATATTGTCAGATACTTACTAAATACTTCTTAATGAGGATAATAATAGTGATGATTAGACAAAAATTACTCAAATGCTTCTAGGTAAAGAGATTCCTCTTTTAATGGAGTGTATAGAATTTTAGAATCATCACAGTATGGACAAGATTCTAGAAATGATATACAGTTTAGTAGATAGTCTTGTTGTTATTGTTGTTGTGAGATGCCCTCGAGTCCCTTCCGACTCATAGCCACGCTGTGTACACCAGAACTAAACACTGCCTGGTCCTGCCCCATCCTCAAAATCATTGTCATGTTTGAGCCCATTGTTGCAGCCACTGTGTCTGTCAATTCATCTCATTGAGGGTCTTTCTCTTTTTCACTGGCCCCTCTACTTTACCAAGCATGATGTCCTTCTCCAGGGACTGGTCCCTCCTGATAATACGTCCAAAGTATGTAAGGTGAAGTCTCTCCATTCTCTCTTCTAAGAAGCATTCTGGCCTTACTTCTTCCAAGACAGATTTGTTTTTCTGGCAATCTACGGTATATTCAATCTTCTTTGCCAATACCATAATTCAAATACATCAATTCTTCTTCGGTCTTCCTTATTTATTGTCCAGCTTTCGCATGCATATGAGGTGATTGAAAATACCATGACTTGGGTCAGGTGCAACTTAGTCCTCCAAGTGATACCTTTACATTTTTTTTTAACACTTTAAAGAGGTCTTTTGCAGCAGATTTGCCCAATGCAATACACTGTTTGATTGCTTGACTGCTGCTTCCAAGGGGTTGATTGTGGATCTAAGTAAAATGAAATCCTTGACAACTTCACTATTTTATCATGATGTTGCTTATTGGACCAGTTGTGAGGATTTTTGTTTTCTTTATGTTGAGCTGTAATCCATACTGAAGGCTATATAGTCTTTGATGTTCATCAGTAAGTGCTTCAAGTCCTCTCTTCTTCCTCTTCACTTTCAACAAGTGTAAACAATTTTAAAGGGATTAAATTGCTTTTTTTCAAAGTCTCCTACTTAAGTGATAGTCAATATCATAATAGAGCCCCTGGATTCAACTTCTAGTATTCTTTCCTTAGTCCAAATTGTCAAGGTTGAATTTGTATGTACATAAAATGGCATCAACATAGAGGAGTATGATTTGGGGTATGGAAAAATATATACTTCTTCAGGTATAATTTTCTGCACTGGTCACTTGGAGCTGAGGGTTGTCTCCTTGCAGTCCTTGTTAAAATGCCCATAGCTAATCTGAGTGGTAGTACAATTTACAGAACATGTCAGTCACAGAGTTAAATAGGTGAAATCCTTAGCTAGGTGGCTGTGGTTTTACAGTGCTTTCACTATAAAATGCCTGCCCCTCTCTCCCACAGCCATAGATGATTGGTTACCTAACCAATGCTTCAGGGTTTGTGGCCTGAACAACTGAGTAAATTGTGTTATTTACTGAGAAGGAGAAGAGAGAGGTCAGGTTGAGAACTATGGGAACAATAAAAAGGACTACCAGGCTCTATATGGGTTTTATGTCCTAATACATGTCATGACATTTCCTTAATGTTATGGTGAACAATAGTAGTCTTTTGAATTGACTAGTTGCTGGATTATAATAGACTGGAAATGCATCTCACCTCTGTTCAGCTAGGGTATTGGCCAGTGAGTCACACAAGGGCCACAGCATGATGAGAGCCGCAGTGCACATTCAGCTGTTGGAGATGGAGGGCAGTGTAGGGTGGGATTCTCCTGGGATCTTTGGGTGCTGACCAGGGAGGGAAGGCTTAGGTCAGACACTGCTACAGGAGACCCGGACATCAGAGAGGAGGTAAAGGCACAGGGTCCCACAGTTCTGGCAGATTCCCTAAGAGGATTTTACTCCTGAGGTGATTTTCTTTCCTGAAAGGAAGCTTGAAGGCCATCTACTTAAATTAATTTGATAAGTAGCCAGTGTGTGAATGAATATGCTTTCAAACATTTTGAATGATTTTCAGACCTTGCTTTAATACTTATTTTGCTGCTTATGGAGGCAATATAATGCAGTGGTTAAGGGCACTGATTTTGAAACTGAATAGATCTGGGTTAAAACTGCAGCTCTGCCATCGAGTAAGTTCCACAATAAATCTCAGAACCATGGTTTTCTCATCTGCAAAATGTGGAGATAAGACCTAAGTCATAAAATTGTTGCAAATTCAAATAAGATAATGTAAATATTTAGCATACAGCCTACCACATTTTAAGTGTTAAATCAGTGTTGTTGTTATTATTATTACAATTTTCTTCCTAGTTCTATCAGTTTTGGAGTGATGGATTATTCTGGGGCCCTGGTGGTGCAGTAGTTAAGAGCTCCGCTGCTAACCAAAAGGTTGGCCATTCGAATCCACCAGCCGCTCCTTGGAAACACTATAGGGTAGTTCTACTCTGTCCTATAGGATTGCTAGGTGTTGGAATCAACTCCATGGCAACGGGAACGGGTTTTTTGTTTGGATTATTCTGGTAACATGGATGGACTCAATAGAATGACCTATTAACTGAATCCAATTATTGATTTAGTTACTCTATCTCACTATTTTATATGAATAGACCACTTGTTTTGGTTTCTGAGCATCCTGAAGAGTGTCCATAGTGATAGGGGCTAATCAAGCCTAATGAGCTAATGAATCAGATTAAACAGGCATTCTCTAGGTTATTCTCTCATCTATTGTCTTAATTCTTTGTATTTTGTCTTTAGAGGGAAGTTTGATAGGCACAGTTAGAAGATTCTTAATTGAAATAGAAGGTTCATTTAGCGGTAATATGCTAATTTTTCTTTGTGAGATGATTAAAAAAAACCTGGTAAGCTATGTGGGAACAAGGTATCTATGGTTCAGTGGTAGAATTCACGCCTTCTATGCAGGAGACTGGGTTTGATTTCCAACCAATGCACCTACCTCATGAGCAGCCACTACCCATCTGTTAGTGAAGGCTTGCATATCGCTATGATGCTGAACAGGTTTCAGTGGAGCTTCCAGACAAAGATGGTGGACTAGGAAGAAAGAACTGGAGATCTAACTCTGAAAATTAGCTACTGAAAACCCTATGGATCACAACAGTCCAACCCACAACCTATCATGGGGATGGCACAGGACTGAGCAGCGTTCCATTCCATTTTGCATGGGATTGCTGAGTTGGGGGCCAACTCGTTGGCAGCTAACCACAGCAAAGCTATGTATGATGGAGATCAATTCAGTCTAATCTCCTTAAGTCCTCTCCTAGATCTTCTTTCCCTCTGCCTTGGAAGACTCTTCTCAATGGGGCAGGTGAAGGAGAAGGAAACTGGTGGAAAAAGTACATTTTACGGAATTGGTTAATTTGAAATCTTAGAATAAAATGAAGCTTTGAAGTTTGCTGATTTTACTGAAGTTGGCGTTGATGAATCAGGAGGTCATTTCAATTGGTCACAGCTGAGCATTATTAAGTTTAAAGCCAAAGTTAATTTCTTAGTTCCATGTGAACACATGCTGTTGTTAAGTACCGTCTCGTTGATTTCAACTCACAGCGACCCCATAGGACCTCTTAATTTAAGGGAACTGGGGTAAGGAAGTGTTTAAGAGCTTGACTGCTAACCAAAAGGTCAGCAGTTCAAATCCACCAGCGGCTCCTTGGAAACCCTATGGGGCAGTTCTACTCTGTCCTATAGGGTCGCTGTTGAGCTGGAATCGACTCAGCAGCAACGTTTTTTTTTTTTTGGCTCAGGGTAAGGAAGCCTTGGAAACCCTGTAGGGCAGTTCTACTTTCTCCTACAGGGTCACTATGAGTCAAACTTGACTCAACAACTGTGGGTTTGGGGGTCAGGAAGGGTGGGAGTGGAATGAACAGGGGTTTTATAGTTAGATATACATGGGTTTATATCCTGTCAAGATAATATGTGTATGATTGTGGCTTGATAGGAGATTTCTCTAGGTTATAACATTCTCATGCACAAAATGTAAATAATAGACTTCCGCAGTGAACTTCAGCTGCTTTTGCTTATCTAGGGTTGCCAGATTTAACAGACAAAAATATAGGACACTTATTTA